CCTCCAAGAGTTTCTGATAATTTGCTTCCTGTTCGAAGGTCGCCAAGACTTGCTGCAATAAGGGCTGCCGCCAACGACGCTACAAGAGTTCCTGATAACTTGTCCCCTGTTCGAAGGTCACCAAGACTTGCTGCAAAGGTTGCGAGTGAGAACCCAAATTCTGAGATTTCTTCGAGATTGAAGAAGCAATCACCGGATTCTTCAAAACAACGCAGTTCTACAAAAAACCTATCACAGGATCAAAAATTAGCATTCGGCCAGTGGAGTGCAAGAAGAGTCCTTCTAGTATTGCAAGAACTTTACTACAGATTCGGTGGGGTGCAAAAAGAGCAAGAAGGGCATGTGTACGCATCTGTAGAGTTACAAGTTCTGTGGCTGAGAATAGTATTGGTTAAATACTTATTCGATCCACAACAAATAATCTTATGACAAAATTGTTGGGAATTTTGAACACCACAATCCCACACAAACGGAAGCGATAAAGAAATTGAGACAATAATTTAACGTGGTTCAACTTGTACATCTCTCGACAAGTCTACGTTCATGAGAAAGAGAGGATTAAATCTACTATTAAGAAAAAGAGTACAATAATTTAGAAGCTTTCCCACTCAAGAAGCTCTCAACACCCTAACTTCAATATATAGAAACTCTCAAATTCTCCCTAATACTCTCTCTTAATCTACACAAGGATTTCTCACAATTTTTCTCTTTCTTGTCTCTCACTCAATTTCTCTTGCTTTCTCCTACTCTTGCTTGTCCATTGCCTTTACATGCATGGGTATTTATAGTGAAAAATCTCAACCACCCATGCACCATTTTTCTTTGCTTCCTTACCACCCGTCCATGATTTTCTTTGCTCATTAAATGGCTCAACATGCAATCTTGCATGATTTCAACAAAGCAATCCTAGCCCACAACTAGCTAGGTTGGTGAAGCAAACTTCCACACAAGAAGTCCATGGGTTCACACATGGGGTTGGACTTTCTTCCAACAATCTCCCCTTCCAACCCTATGGGAGGAGAAACCAACCATGACTCCATACACTTCAACATTCCATAATTTTGCTCCCCCTGCTCAGGAGCACCTCATCATGGTGTCCTATTTTTGAGAGCTTCCTCCTAGTATAGGATAGGACAAACCTACACTAGGAGCATTACAGAAATTAATTTTGAACCAAGATATGATCCGAGGAAAAATCGCACCTCCTCGAACCATCATCAAACACTACTTCATTGTTGAAGCTCACCTTCTTCTTAGTCTTATTAATTTCCTTGCCATCTACCAAGATCCCTTTAGGCTTCCGCACCATCTTCCTCATGGTCTTATTAAGCCCTCTCTCGGGATGTTGCTCAAGCACATAGATGTTGTGCTTGTTCTTCCTTCCACGTAGAACAAGTCTCCCACCTTTGTAGACCTTGCACCATTCTTGCTTTCCGACGTACTTGTACCCTCGTGTTGTCAACTCACTCAAAGCAATAATATTGCTTGAACACTTGGGCACATATCTCACATTCTTGAGAATCTTGGCTCTCCCATTGTGAACATTGAGACGAACATCTCCTTTGCCTTCAATATTCACCTTCTCACCGATAGCCACCGTTATTTTGCCAAGCCCTCCCCGAACCAAACTCACAAATTCTGAAGGATTATTGCACACATGCATAGTTGCAGCGGAGTCCAAAATCCACCTTTGATTGTTTTGCTCCACCTCAAGACCACACTCTTCACAAGCTAATACTTCAACCACATTTTCCTCAACAATATTAGCCTCCCCCTTGCCCTTGGTTTCTTGACTTTTCATCAATATTTTCATATTAGAAAAGTCTTCCTTAAACTTCGGGCATTTATATTGTTTGTGACCCAACTCACCACAATAAAAACACTGCACTTCACCATAATCTTTCATCGTGCTTTGCCATAAAGCAAAGTCATTTTTGCCATCGAACAGCTCAATTGAATACTTCATGGCTTCAGTTTGCATTTCGCCATAACACCAGGAGCTTTACCAACAGCTCTAATACCACTTGTTAGGAATTTTGAACACCACAATCCCACACAAACGGAAGCGATAAAGAAATTGAGACAACAATTTAACGTGGTTCGACTTGTACATCTCTCGACAAGTCTACGTCCACGGGAAAAAGAGAAATAAATCTACTATTAAGAAAAAGAGTACAATAATTTAGAAGCTCTCCCACTCAAGAAGCTCTCAACACCTTAGCTTCAATGTATAAAAGCTCCCAAATTCTCCCTAATACTCTCTCTTAATCTACACAAGGATTTCTCACAATTTCTCCCTTTCTTTTCTCTCACAAGAGCTCTCACTCAATTTCTCTTACTTTCTCCTACTCTTGCTTGTCCATTGCCTTTACACGCATGGGTATTTATAGTGAAAAATCTCAACCACCCATGCATCATTTTTCTTTGCTTCATTGCCACCCATCCATGATTTTCTTTGCTCATTAAATGGCTCAACATACAATCTTGCATGATTTCAACAAAGCAATCCTAACCCACAACTAACTAGGTTGGTGAAGCAAACTTCCACACAAAAAGTCCATGGGTTCACACATGGGGTTAGACTTTCTTCCAACAAAAATGTTTTATTTCTTTAGCCAAAAAAACTCAACTGTATAGCTAAATCTGATAAAATAGGAACCGACAAACTAATTGAAGCTAATACTGTCATATCCATAGCTACAAGTGCGTATTATTTCTTATAAGCATTAGGCTTGTGGCTTTTGGAAGAAATAAAAGAAACTTTAATTATATTTCCAGCTCAAATCCTTAGGTAATTTTGTAAAAGAAAATAAAAAATATTATAATTTATATATCATTGTGTAACATCAGATACCTTATGGTCAAAACTACAGCACAAATCCTAAATATTAAATTATTATTTTCTACATTCTGTTTACTAATTTCTAATATAATAATCAAAAAGTAGAAATCTCCAGAAGTTTTTCTCTTCCTCTTAAGCCATCTTAAGAAGTCCAGCTGAAGGTTACAATCGCACATTTGACCAAAAAGGATAATCTGTCCAAAATTACAGAACTAAGAATATTGATGATGGTATAAGAGATACTTAGCAGCTTACAACAACAATATTAACAAAATTAATAAGGAGTTTTTTCAAGAAAAACTTTCAAAAGCAAATAAAGCAATATTTATCCTCGAAAACATTTTGAATTGTAGTGCATTTTAGCCCAACAGCTTAAAAAATCATTGCACAAAACAAAATAAATGAACAAAGTTATGGTCACAGTAAATTACGGCAGCATATCAAACTTATAGTCATAGTATTATTTTTAATTGCTCTGTTTTATTATTTTTTGAAAAAAAATTTTAAACTTTTTTTTTTTTTTTGTAATTAATACAGCCTCCGGGATGAACTGATAACGAAATAAAAAATTTCTGGAACACCAGAGTGAGGCGGCGGCGGCGGCAGCGCCAAGGCCTCCCTTTATCCTCCAGACATCCAACCCCTAAACCACCACCAGTTGTCGTCGCCGCTGCAGAACCAACATTTTACCCATTACCAAACACATTCGGAGCCCGCCACACCCATCTCCTCCGCCCCAGCGACACCCACTGCTTTCTCCTTCCAAACAACGGCGACCCTTCACGTCCCCACCACCCCAACGCAGCTTTCTCTCCACAGCCCAAACTGCACAACTCCGACCACTCTCAACAGCCCACACCACGCAACTACCCCTATGCTTCTCATCCCAACTCTGCCGAACGCCTCTCCGCTCGCCTTCCCGTACACCCCTGTCTACCCAACTCTCCCTCTCTTCGATTCCTCTGTCTCCGCATCCAACCCTTCCACCTCCACCACTAATTCCAGCTTCTTCTCAACCAGAACCCCTCCTTTCCTCCAGACCCCTCCTCGATTCAAGCGGCTTCACCGTCAACTCGACTGCGAGAATGGCAACAACAATAGCTTTAATTTTTGGCAATACCACCGCCACCAGTGGCTCAACCACCTCCAGCTTTGCCTTCCCCTTTTCGCCTTTGTTGAGAAGCTCTCCTTTTGGACATACCACTGCCTCCACTTCAATGCCCATCTCCATTCACTATCCTTCCTTTGTCTCGAAAACATTTTGTTTCGATCCATCTAAACAGTTGGTTCCCATTTGGATTTGGGACAACTCGCCTCTATTCCGGACTATGTTTATCCGTTGAGAACGGAGCTCCCTTCAAGCCAATTTTTGTTTCAAGACAGTAATCCGGAGATTACATTCAGTTATAGGGTAAACGATGACAATGGTGGTGACATTAACAGCACTAACGAGTACCAGAATTTGGGCGAGTCCAGTGGTGGAAGCGGATTGTTAGAGGATTTGTTGGAGGAGGCTCAGGCAATGGCAGGCAGCAGCGATGGTTTTGGGAGGCAGACTTGCTTCAGCTCGCAAGAGGAGAAGCAAGTCCTGGATGGGTTCAGCCCTTGGGGAGATTCAAGCTCTGTGGGTAATCTGTTCACATTTTCTTAAAATGAAGGTGCAT